TCGCTGCTTAAACCCGCCGCTGCTGATTAACACCCCCCCGGGTCATCGATATTCCAATTTTCTGTCCTCTTCGACGGTGGCGCCCTCGTGAGCATTTTCTCTTGCTCTTGAGAATGAATGCGAGAATTTTCTCCTCTCAATAACAACATCCTCCCATAGCCCTTGCGCAGCTACTCGAACCTCCAACTCCGCATCCGCCTCCAACCTCACTGATGGCCTCCACCATGGACGGCTACGATCCTCTCGCGACGCCCTACTTTCCCAGCCCAATACCTTCATATGGAGGTGGGGGACTGCAAAACTTGGACTACATGAGTGTACCGTCGGTGATGGACCTGCAGGAACAGTACTCAAACTTCGACTCGGAGCCATATATGAGGTATATACTTCCCCAGCACACTTCTCCGCCAAGGTCATGTCTAACGCGTTGCAGCGGTGATGAGCTTGGGTTTGCGCCTTCGAACAGTCTCCAGCATCCAGCTATGCTGAAGCGCTACTCTTCGGGGTTCGAAGATCCCTTTGCCGAAAGCACAATGTCCCAGTTCGACCAAGGACCTGCCGACGGGCTTCCAGACAGTCCGTCGATCGATCGCGACAGTAAATATCTCAGTTTTTCTATGCCTCAATACAACTTCACCCTTCTCGATGACTCTTTCCGACGCTCATCGGTCAACATCACTGCCCAGTTACATGGGATGTTCTTCCTTGCCGAGTCTCAGTGGCCTGCTACAGCCGATACTCCTCCGCCTCCGCCAGAGCTGACATGCTACCGCCGGAATCTGTTCCAGATCACGGGCTCAGTGACGTTGCCCAGGAATCTCCGATATGTGTTCACCGACGACGGCTCTAGAATCCCCATCTACGAGTTAGAATTGGCGGTATCGGCGACCGAATCCGTCGAGGGAAATTCGGTCAAGATCATTTCTGTTCCGTGGAAGACTCCCGCCAGCGGAGAGGCGCCGAAACCAGAGGACAAGGTAGAACGAGAGCCTCCGACGATACCGTTGGATAAGATGTCGGGACAAGATCTGGACACTGACTTTACGACGTTCCCCATCCAATGGAAGAGACTCCAGTTCAGAATCGCGACTGCGAACAACGGACGGCGGAAGGAGTTGCAACAACATTTCACCCTTCACTTGAAGATCATGGCCTCATTGTCCACGGGCGGGAAGATCTCCATTGCGGAAGCTCACTCAGGAGCAGTCATTGTTAGAGGTCGAAGTCCACGAAATTTCGCCGCCCGCAAGGATTTGCCCTTGAGCAGCAGTTCCACAGCCAGAAAACACCTACCAGCAGCGTCACGAGCATCGAACAGCGCAACGTCTGTCCCTCAAGTTACTTCGGCACCAAAGATCAAGACCCCTTCAGAGGAAATCCCGCAGATGGTAGCTGGATATGACAGCGTGGATACGAAGCCTGGAGACGCTGATGGCGCCACCTGGGTCTCACAAGGCGTCCACGATCCTCTCGCCATACCATATTCGACTTCGATGAGTCGTCCCGCTGTCCCAGCGTTCCCTGATGGTACACCTGAAATAGGCACTCCTGGCACATTTCCATTCACGTTCCCGCAAGAGATGGCGCAAGGGAGCAGGCCGATGAGCTTGCACTTCGGGAGTGACGATGAAGGGGGAAGCCCTCATCCTCCACAGCAGAATTCAAGGCCCTCGTCACGACCACCCACCTCCAATCCTTCACCATCCCTTTTAAACAAAGGAGCTGTGGGGACGTACACGGGCAATACCAGCACATCGCCGGGCCATATCACGAACCAAGCTGGTCCACGGCCTCGGCTGCAATCTCACCAAGTATCAATGACGAGTGTACCCAGCTCCATGTCAGCCATGAATGGGACCGGTCCTCAAGCCCCGATGTCTCAGAGACCAGAACTGCTACCTACGAAATCAGGTGTACCATATGGCGCCGAAGGGGACAGTGTCGACCAGCTTTACGAGTACTTTCCGTTGGGACTAGATGATTGGCAACCGCCAGTCGATGCCGTGTTCCGTCCCCATGTCGTCCACCACAGTGGTCCCTTGCCACCCGACCCACGATCACCCGGAAGACATACGAGCAAAAGGTATTTCTCGGAAGTGGTGTAAATCGACGACTTTGACTTCACTTTCATCTTTTACTTGTTCAGGGCATCCTGTAGAATCAGGATTGACTGAACCATGACCTTACGCGATCTACATAGGATTGTATGATACCCATCTCCGACGAGGCATGAAAACTGGCATATATACACAAGGCAGGATGAAATTGGCACGAGCGGGGTTTACGAATCATGACTCTCTGGCTCTCAGCCCAGTAAAAAGAGGAGGTAGAGACGACTCCCTGTTCAGCGGACGAAACTCATGTTTCACCATTTATACGAATGGATATGTTCCTGAAATCTCCGTACCTGGTCCATTGCGTTGAATGAAATGAGTAGTCCGAAAAGATATTTGACACGGCTTTGGTCAAACAGGCTCGAATACCCGAGTGTTCGCTGGCCGGGGCCCGAATCACAGCATTCAGGGAGGACAACCTGACCGCCAGACGATGCAGGGACAACCTGGACAACCTTTCGTTCTACCTCGTAGCTCGTACCCACCCATAGCAACACGGCTGAACAGAAGTACTTGTCAGCCTAACAGGACCGGAAACCACTCTGCTAGCCTGTGAACTTGACTGACATATCACTATCCCGCATCGGCGAGGCCCGAGAATCTTGCCATTCACTCATCCAGCCATCGTCGTCATCCACTTCTAGTGTGGGAGGCTAATGCACTATGACGAGTGCCGTGATCGACAACTTCGTTCCTTAGTGAGGTTTCGGTGAAGTGTCAAGCTTCTGACGTCGGCTGGGAAAAAATGGCTAGGTGATGGCCTTTCCAATCAGTGACACCTACTGGGTACAAAAGTAGTTCGTAAGAGTGGGCCGGAAAAGCAATCGCGGAAAGATACGTGAATGAACTCGAACTCGTTACGATACGTGCTTTGTGCAAGTAGAAGCGGTCACCAGACTTACAGTACTCGGAGATTACTTGTAGTTACTTACATGAAGTCGTCGTTGAAAGGATGCTCGAGAAGGGTACGGGTTCGGTAGGAACTCTGATATATCATAAAGTGGACCGACAGAGTACACAGGCTCAGTTGGAATTCTTGAAATCGTCCAGTCCACACGAGTCACGTCTTGGTGACACCTGAGTCGGATTCGACCTACTGTAGGTCGGCAGGAATATGGACACGAAAAGGACTTCACTACGCGTAACAGTACCCCAGTACTCCGTACGAGTTTCTCAATCTGAGAACAAAGTGAGAGAGACTCCACCCCGGAGTTGGAGGGACAAAGGTGGAAAATATTCCGCCTGAGTGCGGCTAATCTCGGCTACTGTCGGAAACGCAGGACAATGTCGTGTCTACGAACATTGGAACTTGAGAACGTCTCCGGGGGAAGTCTTATCAGAGCCGAGGATCACTTGTGACAGTTCACCGTACAGTACGCATCCTAACTTGGGACGAGCTGATCAAGGTGTGGGAGTCATACACAGTAGGCAACAGGCTGGGCTCGATTGGCCGGACTGAATTACTTCGTAGAGCACAACGCTGAATATCAAGGACGAAACACGTAGGAAACTACCACATGTCAGAAGAGCTAGAAATAGTCCCTTGGTAATCCTTTGAGGTAGGACGTGAACGTTCCTAATACGAGTAGACACCAGGAGGGTAAAAGGGTAACGAACGATATACAAGTCAGGCAAGGTTCACTTGTGGCTTTGTCTACACTGGCTCACCGGTTACCAGTCGAGGGTCGTGGAAGTTCAGCGGCAAAGCGCGAATAGGGATCGTTACCGTGTCGGTGCCCGGCCATGTGAACCTCTGATTGGCGGGCGATTTGTTAATACTTCACGTCAAGCAATAATCCGCCTTATCAGACAATTTTCTGTGACTCAATCCTCGTAACGTTTACTGAGTACAACTCTGGCTGCCGTTCCACCGTCATTGCTCGCTTTGGTTCATCGCCCCGTTCCCAGCGACTCGTCGAGATTCATGCATATGCAGATGCATGCACGCCCGCCAATGCAGCTCGCTTCCACATGTAGTGCAATTCAAGGCCACCAACTGTCTCCAGCCCCCCCCCCGGACACAACGTTCACGAGCCTTGCAACTGCCTTCATGGACCCTCAAGTTGCGCCCTGTGAATATCTGCAGGGTGGAAGTGGTCACGGGGTGCCGTTGCTCAGCATTTCGAATCATCATCCCGTGGTCTATCGCTGCATCAGGCTTGATTGTATTCGTCCATCCTGTCCACGACCAGGGTCGACTGGATGATGATGCTGGGTCGACGCCCGACTCAGCCTTCATGCAGCTATCCCACTCAGTCGCAGGACTGACCACGAGGACCTTGCCGGGGAACCACGACACTGCCGGTTAAGACGTGCGATGCACGCCGGGACTTGCTAGACGACGTGCTGGTGCAGGGACCCCACGTTGAAATTGGTTGTTCTGTGCATCGACGAGTCCAGGCCGAGTATCCTTTGGTCCGTTTCTCTATTTGCAATCTGCTCGCGGGTTCGCTTCTCGTGCGTGAGGGTCCGTCATTGCGAGGCAAGGCCCCCCTGGACACTTCTCACCTGACTCTTCTCCAGCCTTGGACTGCTCCATCAAGTTCCTGTCATATACCCGTTCATCCAACCTCAAACTGGTCTCCTTTCATACTTCTTCCTCAGCTCATCTTCACTGAGCTTGGCTTACTCACTTGGATACGAAAAAGCACACTGACTTGGCGGCTATCTGAACATCATTGACACTACTGCCTGCACTACAAAAGCACCAAAAGCTTCTATTTCCTGCATGTCGCCACGCAGACTGCAGTGGTCGACCTCGTATTTTTGCCACAATGGCTCACCAACCATTCTCGCGTCCCACGCTAAATGAGCACACCCCTGATTCCCTCTCACGTCGGTCCTCGAGCCCTGTTTACGTCGTGAAAAGAAACAACCACACCAACAATGATATCCCTTCCGGTACTTGCTGCTCTGGTGGGGGACACCATGGATGTGGATGTGGATGCAAGAGTTGCATGTGCCGGCTAACGCACTTCCAGGATGAATCGAGCCGTGAAGTATACCCAGGGGAGGGAGGACGTCTAGGTATGCCTGGCCCAGACGTTGTGCTTCCTGACCGAACTTCAAGGTTTGATTCGTCCTGGTCGTCTCCCCGCACCGACATTTCTCGCTTTTCGAGCAACGGAAGCGTGGACAACAGCATCGGAGCGAGCGGCCACTTCGGCGGCCATCCGGCGGCCAGCATCTATATCAATGGAATGGGACATCAGTTTGGACCTTCGGAGGAGGAAGATGACGACAATCCCCGGTGGGCTGATTTCATCAGCTCCGGAAACAGCCTCGACCATATGTCTTTCGACCAGGACTCCTCGGGCATGGTCATTCCCGGGCTGCTTGACGACTCCACGCTTGCGGCTCGTGGCTCGGGCATCGGCATTGGAATCGACGAACGATCTATCTTGAGCAGCGAGTACGAGAGCTCATTCCCCCAACCGAGCGCCAATTCGAGTCAAGTCCTCACCGGCGTTGGTACCGTGTTTGCGAATCACTTCCTTGTCCGACCACTTCGGCTCACACCAGAGTGTCGACACAGTGTCGACCGTCCAATCTGCGCACGATACATGCACTAGATCACCACAGCAGCATTGTGGCTGACTGCGCAACCTTATAACGAATTCCCTTGCGATACACAGCCATTATTTGGCACCGTCAAGTTTCGCTGTTCGGGTTTCAGTTTTCAGTTTTCAGTTTTCAGTCTTCGGTCTCGAGTCTCCTGTTAGATTACAGTCGCTTCAAGCTTGGGACATTGGTTGAGGTTGGGCGGATCCGTTTTCTCTACTTCTGGTCTCACCCAGAAGGACCTCCTGCTCAGCATACTGTACAAGACAGAGACATACATGTACAATATCTGAAGAAGGATCACCGGACCACACAGTCCAACACTGGGTCTGGGCAGCGTTCTCCTGGTCGATTTGAGGAGTTAATGTAGGTATAACGGAATTCCATTACCATGATACAATCGCGACTGAAGTACGGAGTACTCCAACTGGAAAAGCCTCTCGCAAGCTGAGCGTGTGCTTTGTGTGTAATGAATGAGTGGAGGATCAAAGCAAATTGCCTTTTCGAGAACTACACGGTACAGTACAAGAGCTGCCCGGCCCTGCCCTGCCCTGCCCTGCCCTGCCCTGCCCTGCGTGCCCCTCTTCAGCGCCCACTCCCCGATCTTAGGCGAGGCTACGAGTAATTACCCCTCGGTGGGTGGGTGGGGTGAAGCTCTCCGGGCGCACCGGGACACCAGCCTAGAGAGCCCGGCGAACCAATGACGCAGCTACTTGACAGGACTGTGAGAACAACGACAGGTACGAGTTACGCACGAGTTACTCCGTAGCGAAAACAGTTGATGTCCCAATAATTTCCATCCCGTCCGTCTACACGTACACAGTACTCGTAGGAACCGGCTCAGGTCGATTCGCAGATCCGTATCGAGCAGATGACTGCTCAGTGCGACTCTCTCCTTCAGCCGTTGTGAACCTACTTGTCCTTTGTCTGTAGGCACTCAGCAGCTCGTGCCGTCTGCACCACCACCACCACCACCACCGGTCACCTTCCCCTGCACCCTCGATCAGACCCCCCACGATGGGTCCCCCAGCGATCATAGCGCCCTCGATCCTCAGCGCGGACTTTGCCCAACTCGGCCACGAGTGCGCAAAGACAATGGGCCAGGGCTGCGACTGGCTTCACGTCGATATTGTAGGTCTTTCCCGACCTGTGGGTTGAGCGAGCGGAGAGGAGAGGAAGTGCAGTTCAGCGGAAGAGAGCGCCGAGCATGAGCAACAGCACGACCGAGCACGGGCACATTCCAAACAGCATACACTCCATCGTGTTTACCTTTGGTTTTAGTACGCAATCGCTAACTTCTACGGTGCCCCCGACGCACAGATGGACGGCCATTTCGTCCCCAACATCACGTTCGGTCCACCTGTGGTGTCGAAGATTCGGTCGCACGTGGAGAGACCGAAGAACCCAGGCGGGAGAGGCACGTTTGACTGCCATATGATGATCGCGGAGGTGAGTTGGATAATGCCACCGTACACAAAATGTCCCAGTCCAGTCAAGCCGAGCAGGGGTTGCCCAGCCAGACCCTCCCATTCAAGCCAGGATACAACCCACTCCTCTGACACGCTCACGCTCATGCTCATGTTCAACAGCCACACAGATGGGCGTCCACGTTCCGCGACGCAGGGTGTGACTTGTACTGTTTCCACTACGAAGCCGCTGTTTCGTCCGTGGCGGCGACGAAACCCGAAGATAAAGAGACCACGACGCCGACGTCGCCTAAAAAATTGATAAAATACATCCACGAGTTGGGCATGCAAGCGGGCATTGCGATCAAGCCCGAGACCAGCGTCGACGTGCTGTGGGATATCCTGGAGAATGAGAACAAAGAGGAGCGGCCGGACGTGTGTACACCCTTTTGGCTATTGCGTGGCTTTTCCGTGAGGTCGCGATACTCCTGTCGCATCCATGCGACGAAGGTATCGAATTAGTGTCCGTTGCAAACGTGCTGACTCGTTCTGCAAACCCAGATGGTCCTCGTCATGACGGTACATCCCGGCTTTGGGGGCCAGAAATTCATGGCCTCGGAACTGCCCAAGGTAAAGGCCGTGCGCGAACGCTATCCGGACTTGAACATCGAGGTGGACGGGGGACTGTCGGAGAAGACGATCGATCAGGCGGCGGATGCAGGCGCCAATGTGATTGTCGCCGGGTCTGCGGTCTTTGGAGCACAGGACCCGGGCGAGGTGATTCGCGTGTTGAGGGAGGCTGTCGAACATAGACGGGGTGGCAAGTTATGATGAGGGATACATTGACAATGAGGTACGAGGCATGAGATAAGAACATCGAGCGGAAATTCCAAGGTATGAGGTATGAGATAAAAATGATAGAGCGGAATCCCAACGATTGCAGATGGGCGCAGATGGGCAGCAAGCGTGAATGACAGGGCAGTCGTTGAGCCATGGATATCTGTGTATGGCTCGAGTCTTCCAGAACTGGTCGTAGGACCACCTCCTACATTGATGGAACGTACATACCGTATACGGGTAGACTGATATGTCGACCTGTGGAATCTGGTCCTTCCACATCTCCTCGAATGCAGAGGGTCGTATGAGGACAGAGTTGCGGCGGAGATGGTTTATGGCCCAGTATAAACTACGCCAAAAGCATCAAGACTCTTTCCTCTTACTTGAACTGTTAAGTGGCTGTAACTAACCACGCCGACGACCTTATTCAGTAGGTAGGTAGGTAGGTAGGTAGGTAGGAACCTGAGGAACCTACTGTGCTCCATACCTAGGTATGTAAATCTAATACCCACTCTTCCCCTTGACGACGTTATACGCCCCGCCCCCCTTGCCAAACATGTCCCTCAGATCGGCGACCAGATCGTCAGGTCTCTCCCACGCGAAGAAGTGACCGCCCTTGTCATGACCCCGCTCGAACACGACGTCGCCCTGGGTCCGCGTCCACGTCGCCGGCAGGACGCGGACCTCGCGCGGCGCGTGCGTCAACCCCAACTTGACCCCTCCGCCGATGTACTCGCGCGTGCGGTCGCGGGTGACGCGCCGGGCGGGGTCATCCCACTGGTGCGTGGCCTCGTAGTAGATGCGCAGCGAGGCCGCGGGTCCCGCCGTGCTGAACCAGTAGATGCTCACCCACGTGCAGACCTCGTCGGCCGACCACGCGTACGAGTCGCTCCAGTCGTGCATCTTCTCGTACACCCACGCGAGCAGACCGAGGGGGCTGTCGTGCAGGGCGTAGCCCAGCGTCTGTGGCCGCGTGGCCTGCTGCGCGCGATAGCCCGACGATTCGTGCAGGAACCACGCCGTGCGCTGTAGTCCGGCCTTTTCCGCGGGCGTGTACGGCGTCACGGCGTGCTGGATGGCCAGCGCCGGGTGTCGGAGCAGAGCGGGCGGCTCGCCTTGGTCAAAGTTCACGTGCGTGGCCTTGCAGTGCGACGGGTAGTGCAGGGACATGGCCCGCGTGATGTAGTACCCCCAGTCGCCGCCTTGGGTGGCGTACTCGGTGTACCCGAGCTGGAGCATCAGCTTGTGGCACGTCTCGGCGTATTGCGCGATCGCGAAGCCCTTGCGCGTCGGGCCCTCGCTGAAGCCGAAGTTCGGGAGGCTGGGGGCCACGACGTGGAATGCTGGGGGAGAGGATGAGCTTGAGCTGGTCGGGCTGGCGCTCCTCTCGCTGGACGCAAGAGCCAGATCGTCCAGCATCTTGGTCACTTCGATGAATGACCCGGGCCAGCCGTGCACGAAGAGTAAAGGCACGGCATTCTCGACGTGGGACCGCCGGTGCACGAAGTGGATCTTGAGCGGCTCGAAGCCCTGCACCGTGATGGTCGTACGGAAGTTGGGCAGGCTGTTGAGTTTCTGCTCGGCGGCGCGCCAGTCGAAGCTGTCTTTCCAGTACCGTGTCAGGCGTTGCACGTCGGCGAGCGGCGTGCCGTAGTCCCAGCCCGAGGAGTCGAGTTCGGTGGGGAAGCGCGCGAGAGAGAGACGGGTCTTGAGGTCGGCGAGTTCAGAGTCGGCGATGGAAATCGTGAAGGGTTCGATGTCGGCCATGGCGGTGGCGAGAAGCTGTACGTCGGCGAGGGTCGAGCAGAAAATAGAAGCACACGTAGACTTTAATGAAATGAAAGTGATGGATGGGTTTGGGGGAGCTTAGATCTTCGAGTCTTGAGTCTGAGACTCGGAGCTCAGTTTTCAGGGTGTAGTGTTTACTGTGGTATATATGATGGTAATGGGATATTATAGCAAGTCATTGATCATGGATGTAGAGATTCGAGATGCGTTTGTCAGCTTCGAGTACAGCGCCCTCGACTAAACTTACTTCTTGACTCGGTACTGAAGAGAATGAACCCAATGGCGTCGTGTCGGGCCTGACTTTGTCGTTGGAAAGAGAAAGAGGAGTATCAGAAAGGCGCGAGACGAGAGATCTCGTTCGGCAATCATGTTCGGGTGGATGGAGGTTCAGGTTGGCGGTACGCGGGAGACGCTGAAAGTCATGCAGCACAGCATCTTGAGTAATCAGACAGCTAATCACAAGGAGGACAAGGATTGAGTCTAACTGGTAGGTACAGCAGGTAACGACTGGTAATACTGTGTGGGCGAGAAGTAGGCTGCCTGCCCGGAGCAGGGCCTCCCTCCGCGAATACGCCCCAAGCAATCATGACTGAGGTCTCGATTACCACACGGGATGCGAGACTGGACTCTCCTACAACCACAGACTGATCGTGCATGCAGGCGGCAAAGGCCTTTTCCTAGCCATATTGATATCGAACTATCTCCGTCACAAGCGAGAGCATACAATACACTTTTTCTGACAAATGTGGAAAAGCTCACACCCGCGCCGTCATACCCTCGAGCTGTAGAAGGAACTTAAATCACAGGAGAACCACAGCGTCCTCGCCTTTACCAGCTGAGTCCCAGTGGGTTGGCAGCACGCGTAGGGTTTGGTCCAGGCAGCTTCGCCTTGTTCGTCGTCGTCGCCGCCGCTGAAGGCTTGGGGGCAGCCGACGATGTGTTTGGCTTGGCCGGAGTTGGTTTCTTCGCTGCTGCAGCTGCGCCAGGCGCTTTCGCACTGCCGTTGACTTTACTGGCACCCTCGGCTGGCTTCTTCCTCATCGCGCCAGGGTTGGGTGTCACTGTTTTGGCGGATGTTTGCACGGGCTTGAGAGGCGCAGTAGGGGGTTTCTTGACAGGAGGGCCACCAGACGCGGACGCAGACGCAGCCTTCTTCACCGCACCCGCTGGTTTCGCTCCGGGGGGAGCAGGCAGTGCTTTCCTAGGCGTGCCGCCGTCGATCTTCTTCTGCGGTGCGGCCGTCTTGCTTGTCGTCGTCAAGGTCTTGGAGGCGGCTGACGTGGGCGTCGTCGGCGGTGCTCGATATACACCCCCGCCTGTCACCTGTCGTTTGCCGCCTGTCTTGCCTGCACTCAACCCTAATGGATTGCTCGCCGTGGCTGCCCTCAACCCGTCTGCTGATGTCCAGTCCATGATTCCATTTCCATAGTCCTTCACTCCGTCGCCATATCGACGGATTGACCCGTTGATGGTCTCTCCTACTCCATTGATGCTATTCCCCAGTGCATTCACTGCTCCCCCTGCAAATGACCCGGCACTGGCCACCGTACTGGACACGGTGGGAGCAAGGGCATCTGAGACCTTGCCCAGAACCCACTGTGTTGCCATCTTTACGCCGAAGAGACAGACTTCCTGGGACCGAGCTTGGGAGGCTTTCGCTTGCCCTCGCCTTCTGCCTGAGAAGCAGTATCGCTCGCGGTGTCGGTGGCTTTCTCGGCACTAGTTGGTGCCTGTTGGGGCTTCTGGGGCTGACGAAGGGTAGTCAACTTCTGTCGTGGCGGGGGTCTCGGTTGACCGCTGTGATCTTCGGGCACGGGCTTCGGGGGCAGTTTGGGAGCAGATCGGACTTTCCACTCGGGTTTGGCCTTGGGAGCGGTCTGTCCTCGAGTGGCGGTGATGTTGATGAAGTCCTTGTCAAAAAAGATATCAAACGATACGTTAGGCATTGGGACAGACGCTGTACCTGATCGAGGGCACAGACCGGACTTGGGGTGCTGTCTGTTTTTAATACCGGAGAGTAGAGGATACTGATGTCAAGGAGGAAGGGGGCACTTTCTCTAGCTTTGTACGAGTAGAGCTCTCCCTCTTGATCGACGCCAGGGAAGGGTACGAGTACCAGGAATGATATGGCCGGTCGAGGACTCGATCTGGGCACGTCATCTGGAGTCCCTGTGCGTCTCACACCAGCACCGCCACAGGGTAGAAATCCTGTTTATTGCAGCTTGTCGACCGCCATACCCCTGTCTGATGCACGCATCTGGACCTCTCTGACCGGGGGGTGTGCTGCAAGTGCCCCTCATCGACTGCTAGGAATCGCCCAATATGCGTGATCGGGCAAGAATAACTGGAGCGGGCATTCTCTCCATTCGCCCATCCTCAGTCTGGTTTCCCATGCCTGGCACGAGCCCTGACGAGGGCGATCGGAAAGCGAGCCAGGCGAGCGCCACAAATCGATTGCAGCAGCTTGCACGGCTTCATTCTGCCGAAGGAGTGGAAGAGGACTGCAGCATGAGGCGAGGCCCCTTTGAGCCACCTGCTTGGGCTGATCGCCGTTAGGATATGGACCCCTGGAGTGTGTGTACGTCAGAGTGGCGCTCCCCAGCCTTCCACCTCGTTTGAAATGATGCTATTCTGTTGATGTGTGGCTGCTGGAGAAGCACACGACAATTACTCGTATGGCGACAGAGATGCAAACGTCGCCATAGCAGCACCGCGAAGAACGACAATCATGGCCGCCTCCAAGACACCCGCCCTCGAGCCGGCGGCAGGCTTCTCGCTGGAGTCCAGGCCCAAGCGGCCGGATCGTGTGCCTCTCGCAAAAGGAGAATACTCGGTCGCGTCCCGAGCTCTGGGACTCGCAACATACTTTCTCTCGGGCGCGCTGGCTATCAACATCTCTCAATTCCTGGGGTCGCCCCTGAAATCCATCAACGAAGACTGGTACAACGCATGGATCGCCTTCACCAAGCAGTCCTTCGGGCTGCTGACCATGACCTTGACCCAGACGTTCGCGCCGACCAAGGTGGTCGTGTCTGGCGACGAGTCCGTCCGAGGTCAACTCCTGAAATCGGCGGACGGGAATCTGATTCTGGATTTTCCAGAGCGACTCGTCCTCATCGCGAACCATCAGATCTACACCGACTGGCTTTATCTTTGGTGGATTGCATATTGCAACGGCATGCATGGCCGGCTGTACATTATCCTGAAGGAGTCACTGCGCAAGATCCCCATCCTGGGCTGGGGCATGCAGCTTAACCAGTTCATCTTCCTCAAGCGCAACTGGGAAGAAGACAAGCCCAACATGGCTAGGTCTCTGCAGAAACTCAACAAGCCGACCGACCCGATGTGGCTGCTTCTCTTTCCTGAAGGCACGAATCTAGCACCCAGCACGCGTGAGAAAAGCGCGGCGTGGGCGAAGAAGAACAACATCTCCGATTGCAGGCATACCTTGCTCCCCCGAAGCACGGGCCTGCACTTCTGCCTCGACGAACTGAAGGGCTCGGTCGAATACGTCTACGATGTGACAGTCGTCTACGCGGGCGTTCCTCGAGGCCAGTATGCTCAGGACATCTTCACCCTAAAGGCAGGGTACATGGAAGGTCGGCCCCCCAAATCTGTCCACATGCACTTCCGCCGGTTTGCGGTCAAGGATATCCCGTTACATGACGACCGCGCGTTCGAACTGTGGCTACGGGCCCGCTGGCGCGAAAAGGACGTGATGATCGAGGAGTACTATCAGACGGGCAAGCTTCCTGCCGACTACGGCGGCACCAGGTACAAGTCTGGCAAGGTCCTCCGCGGATGCGGACATATGGAGGTACCGATTCGCGCGAGCCACTGGTACGAGTTCCTCCAGATTTTTGCCCCCATGGGCATCCTCGCCATGATCCTGTACATTTTCTACGGCGACCTGCCGCAGCGATTCTGGAAGAGTATCAACCAACAGGCGCTACAGGCGGGAACACAAGACCTCCGCAAAGCCGGAGCGCAGGCCGGGAAAGGGGTCAAATCTGCTGGCTCGTCGCTAGGAGGACTGACGTTGGATGATTTCTTCCAGCCGGGCAAGCAGGAGGAGACGTTCAAGGCCGGGGCCATGGCTGTGCAGAGGCTCATCACGTCGCCGCAGGCCCAGACCTTGCTCAACCGCGCGGACTTTATGCAAGCCTTCTTGTCGGATCCGCAGAAAATGGTAACAGACACCATTACGGACAAGCAGCAGAGCTTCATGCAGCAGCTAGCTCAAGAGGAAGCAAAGCGGCAACACTCTAATGTCACTCCTCCGGCGGGGACCGGGTTCGTGAGACCCATCCCAAGCAGGTCATCATCCGCAGCAACAGCACCAGGAACAGTAAAGGGACCTCCGTCTGCCAAAAGAGGCGATTTCTATAATCAACTCAATTCCGAGGAGAGAAGCAGAGCTGGATCGGTCACGTCACATCCAGCAAAGAAGGGAACATTCTACGACAGCTTGAAAGCCGAGGAACAAAGCCGTCGCGGCTCCGTCGTCTCCGTCCCGGTCTCGACAAACAGCGTGAACCAATCAAACCGAAGAGGTAACGGTACATTCTGGCAGGAGCTGAAAGACGCCGAGGTCAAGAGAATCGCTTCCGCCCCGGCGGCGAAGACGCCCCTGACGAGCAAGAATCTCGCATCGAAAGGAACCTTCTGGGACGAGGTCAAGAAGGAGGAGAACACCAGGAAGGGCACCGTCGTGACGCTGTCAAGCAATGCAACCACAGCTGTAGCATCGCAGAGTTCCATGTCCTCCTCTACCTCCTCCCAGCGGGCGCCTCCCAAGTTGCCGTCCAAGAAAGCGGGCTCCAGTGCTGTGAAGCAAAATGGGCCAAACGTGGCCAAGGGGCAGAAAGCGGTGCCCAAACCATCGACTGCCGCCCAAAATGCGGTCCAGAAGCCAAAGATATCGGCGCCAGCATCAGGAGCGTCAACGAAAAAGCCGGAACCTGTGGCTCCCTCGACTGCGGCCGTGAAGAAGGGCGCGTCATCACCTGGTGCTAAGCAAAGTGCTGCGAAGCCAGCACCAGCATCGGCCACGAAGCCTCTGCCCAAGTCGACAGCAAACACTGGCACGCCAAAGCCACTTGCGCCGATCAAGAAGCAGCCAGCGACAGCAACAGCAACAGCGCCGCCAGCTTCGAAGGCCACGGCCCAGAAGAAGCCTGCAACCACGCCGGCCACAAAAGTGAAAACGCAACAAGCACAGAAAGCAACGCCACCAAGGGTACCCTCGACGTCCACCAAGAGTACCGGCCCGGCAGTGAAGAAGCCACCATCATCCAACGCTGCTGGGCCGCCCAAGTTGAAGCCGACGGCGAAGAGCTGAGTTGCTCCTAGCGTTCATGGTCGCTGTTCATGATATTGACGTTTTCACTTTTTCTTCAGTGCACTCACTCTATGTAGATGCCAGTGAGCGCGTCTGCTGGTTTGACTTGTCTTGTCTGATGGATTGATTTACGGAATAGGCCATGGGGTAAGCGGCGTCGAGCGAGTGTGTTCATGTACTGTAGGATGAGGACGAGGATGAGGATGATACCTTATGATTCCCTGGACCTGGTGGTTTGTAGCCTACGCGAGTAGCCTGGGCCTGTTGAGGTACTTCGTACTCATGCTTGACTCGGGTCAGCCAATATGACTTTTGATGCGTCATGTGATAAACGTGCTGAACTATGGATGTTCAGCTTGCTTGGTGCTTGTTGCTTGATGCTCGATGCTCGATGCTCGATGCTCGATGCTCGATGCTCGATGCTCGATGCTCGATGCTCGATGCTCGATGCTCGATGCTCGATGCTCGATG